CTTACAGAAATGCTGTGATCAGCTAGCATATCTCCACTAGCAAGTGGAACAAGATGGACTTTCCTCCCTGATGAAGTCACAGTTTGACGAAACGCGTTGGATAAGGAGTCTGGACAATTTTATTTCTGCTGTATGTTTTTATTTTGTTTTTTTGTGCTGGATCTGACTACCACTTCACTGCATATAGACGGACAGTCCATCTTGTTCCACTTGCTAGTGGAGATATGCTATCTGATCACAGCATTTCTGTAAGTGCAATCAGTGAAATAAATCTTGTTAAATTCTAACAGTATTACCCTATGTACAGTTTATCTTTTTGCAAGTTAACCTTCATACGAAGAATCCTATCACTCCAAAGACACCCCAGAGGGGAGACAAGCACAGAATACTCTTGCTGTTTGTAAATTTCCTACCTCCTGGATTTAGCCAAATTACCTTTGCATACTTCACTATTTGTACATTTATATTTTTAGATCTTTTCAAGATCCCTTTCTGCCATAACAGGTTGTATCCTCTATATTCTGTCCTATCCCACCTTTTTAATTTATACTTCACTTGTGGAGTTGTATGAATTATTGTGTTTTTTTGGTTGCGTATTAGGTGTATGTGAGGTACACTTTTTTGGTGAAAGCACTATCCATTCTCTGGTGTTACATATAGTACATACTTTGTATATCAAAATCAACATGAAGACTTTCTGGGGCCAGGGTTTATAAAAGAAACTACCAATGCATTTTCTTTCTACCAAAAAATGCCTTAACAGTCTCGCCTCTCCAGGGGATGTTACTTCTTTGGCTACCAATACATTTAAAAAGTTTGGGATTTTTACCTTACTTAATAAAATGCTTGGTTACAGAATGATTCTGATACCCTTTGATAATATTCAGACAATGCTCTGCAAATCTTGAAACTTGGGAGACCCCTAAAAATTATGTTTTGTCTGTCTGTAATAAAATCTTTCAGTATTTCATCCAGCTTTAATACGTGCCAGTGTCTTTTAAAAATCTTTCTAACATCATTACTTTTGTTATTAAAATTTAAAATAATTGCCATAAAAGGAGAACTGTCTTTGTTTTTATTTTTATATTCTAAGAGGTCTTTTCTGTTGCTCTGTTTAATTGTCATGAGAGTTGTGTTTAAACTTTCTGAGGGAGTAACTCGTTTCAATAAATTTAATAAATATAATTTTTTTTGCATGTCTGGGTTTGTTCAAAATCATTAGTACATGAACAGCTTCTACAGAGACAAAGGAATTGGCTTTTTGGAACTCCATCAAGCCATGGTCTATGGTGGCAGCTTGATTTATCAATGACAGTGTTCTGCAAACTTTCTTAAAATAAGTTTTGGTATTTAATACCATCATGAATAAATATATGTAAATGGATAAAAAGTTATTCAGTGCGTTCATGCTAAGTTTTCTAACTGGTTTTAGCTCATTTTGTGCCATTACAGAGAGAGCCTAAACCAGAAGATCATTAATGGTAAATTTCCAAGCTGGACAGATGTGGCAAGTGGTGTCCCTCAGGGGTTTGTTCTGGGACCCCTTCTATTTAACATGTTTATAAATGATCTTGAAGACAGCATTGAAAGTCATGTTTCAGTGTTTGCAGATGACACAAAACTTTGTAAAATAATACAATGTGAGCAAGATATTACTTTGCTGCAGAGGGATTTAGATAGACTGGGGGACTGGGCACTCAAATGGCAGATTAAATTTAATGTTGAAAAATGCAAAGTTATGCACTTCGGCGTAAAGAATACACAAGCAATGTATACCCTTAATGGAAGCGAATTAGGGATAACAACACACGAAAAGGACTTGGGAATTGTTATAGACAACAAACTATGCAACAATGTGCAATGTCAATCAGCAGTGGCCAAGGCCAGTAAGGTATTGTCATGCATGAAAAAGGGCATTCATTCTCGGGACGAGAATATAATTTTGCCTCTTTATAAATCACTGGTAAGACCACATATTGAATATTCCTGTTTAGCACCTGTTCTAAAGAAGGATATTATGGCACTAGAAAAAGTGCAGAGGCGGGCTACAAAATTAATAAAAGGAATGGAACATGTCAGCTATGAAGAAAGGTTAACAAATTTAAACCTATTTAGTTTAGAAAAACGTCGCCTGAGAGGGGATATGATAACATTATACAAATATATTAGGGGCCAATACAAACCATTGTGTGGAAATCTATTCACAAACCGGACTTTACATAGGACACGAGGCCATGCGTTTAGACTGGAAGAAAGAAGATTTTGTCTAAGGCAAAGGAAAGGTTTTTTTACTGTAAGAACAATCAGGATGTGGAATTCTCTGCCTGAAGAAGTGGTTTTATCAGAGTCCATACAGATGTTCAAACAGCTACTAGATGCATACTTGCAAAAACTGAATATTCAAGGATATAATCTTTCAATGTAGGGTTATAACTGCTTGATCCAAGGATAAATCTGACTGCCATTCTGGGGTCAAGAATGATTTTTTTTCCTAGCTTGTTGCAAAATTGTGCTTCAAACTGTTTTTTTTTTTTTTTTTTTTGCCTTCTTTTGGATCAACAGCAAAAAACAAATGTGAGGAAGGCTGAACTTGATGGACGCAAGTCTCTTTTCAGTCATGTAACTGTAACAAGATGAACTAAAACACAAGGGCAAGTAATTTGAATAGTTTTTCATTCGCTGTATTCTCCTGTGCTTCCTTCTGGTTTGATAATAGATTACAACCTAATAAACTCCATTCTCCAACTTACGGATCATGCCAACATAGATCCCACTCCTGCCTGGGAGACTGTCCCAGAGACATAATTACACAAGCAAAGAGAAAATCTTATGGGACATAGCACTTTTTCTCAAACCATTTTGAGGTTTAGCACACCAAATTCATTAAAAATGTCTCTCTCCCATCCTTGCTTATTTTCTTGTACAATAGAGTACCACACAGCTTAAAATACCCCATAGAGGTTCATAAACTAATGGGTCACGTTACTAGTTTTTGTCCCAATATTTTCATATTCTTTTCATTTTTGTTTATTGAATTCTACAATTCTAATTCTGACACTCCCCCTATTTTTTTTGACAATTTCTTGCATTGCCAGCTCAGGCTACAGAGACTTTGAGGTCCTGTCTCATTGCTGTGCTCAGTACAGCAGGAAGTGTGTTCATTGTTCTCCACTGAACTGAACTCTCTCAGCTGCCATTCCCACTGTGGTGGTTTAAATATTATGTACTTTTGGCAATTTATATCATGCAGTTTTGTTTCAAATATCTCAGTGTCAACCCAGTAACGACAGACCCATGAGCTTAACATCTGTGATTGAGAAATTATTTGAAGGGCTGTTGAGGAGAAATATTCAAGAATTTGTTTTTAACAAATTCATTAGCGGGACTCAACGTGGTTTTATGAAAGATAGGTCATGCCAAACTAACTTAATTGCATTTTATGAAGATGTTAGAAGAAATATAGATCAGGGTGATCCAGTAGATGTGGTCTACTTGGATTTTGCTAAGGCCTTTGATACAGTTCCACACAAAACGCTACTAGTAAAACTGATAGTTGGTTTAGATGAAAAACTGTTCTTGGATAACTGTTCTTGTTTAAAGATAGTGCATAGAGTATTTGTAAATGGAACATTTCCAAATAGAACAAATGTGGTAAGTGGAATGCCTCAGGGTTCTATCCTGGGCCCATTTCTGTTCAATCTGTTTATAAATGATCTCGATGTGGGTACTGAAAGTTATTTGTCAGTGTTTACCTACAAAACTAGGTAAGAAAATACAGTCTGAACATGATAGAACTTCTTTACAGATGGAATTGGAGATATTCGGGGACTGGGCACTCAAGTGGCGGATGCGGTTCAATATAGATAAATGAAAAGATGAAAACCCACACATTATTTTATACATTAAATGAGGTAAAGTTAGGGATAACATTAAATGAAAAGATCAAAAACTAGACAACAGTCAATACCTGTCTGCTGTTACAAAAGCTAGTAATGTGCTTTAGTGTATAAAAAGGGTTATTTGTTCACATCACCTAAGTGTAATTTTGCCTCTTTACAAATCAACGGTAAGATCCCACCTTGAATATGCAGAGCAATTTTGGGCACCAGTTTCAAAGAAGGATATTGCAGAACTAGAAAAAGTACAGAGATGTTACAAAACGAGTCAGGGAGATGGAAAACATTAGTTATGAGGAAAGTCTAGAAAAACTGGATTTGTTTTTTTTTTGTTTTTTTTAGAATAAAGGCTGTTAATTAGCAGGAATATCCCAAAGACAAGAGGTCACCCGTTAAAACGGGAAACAAGGCATGTTTGCTTACAGTAGATAAAAGGGTTCCTTACAGTAAAAACAATAAAACTGAGGAATTCTCTGCCTAAAGAGGTTGTGTTATGAGATTCTATAAAAAAAAAAAAAAAAAGACTGTGATGCGTTTTTGCAAAAATTGAATATTCAAGGATATAACTGATATTAATGTAAACATGTTGTTGATGCAAGGAGAAATCTACCATTATGGCGTCAAGAAGGAATTGTTTCCCCTTTTTGTAGCATAATGGGATATGGCTATATTTTTTTTCAGGCTAGACAACTATGCAACATCTGCTTTTTGACCATAACAATTTGGCATTGGCTTGCTTTTAGGCTTATTTAGGCCCGATTTTTGACTAACCTCATTTGTATTCCAGCACTCTCAACTACAATTACCATTGGTCTACACCCAGATTGCTTTAGTCCTTCTATCCAAACCTTTTAGAAATCACATGTTCCTGTTATGTAGTATTGGGGCTGCTGGCTTCTGAGGACACTGACCACTGTAAAGTCCATATAGCATTGTCTTCACTATATTAGTCAATGTATAAAAGTATTTAATATGCATAATGTGGGTGGTGAGGTGTGTTTATACTGGACATTATATTAGTGTTTAGCTTTTGGAAAGCTTAAAATATTTTTTATGCCACCTCAGCTGCTGATTGGATTCCTAGCTGTCCGTACTCTCAGTCCTTGTTCTTCTGATCGTGCTCTTCTTATATTCGGACTTGTGGTCTGTATCATATCCTGTATATGGTGCCTTGTATTTCTGGCAAAACCCAGAGGTCAGTGATATCTTTTGACTTTATTTGATGTTTATTGAGTAACGCCTATTTTATCACCTTCTCTGTCTTTTGTCAATGCAGCCTCAGATATGATGATATAATATGATTATGCATATATTCCTGGAACTATAAATATGCAAACCAAATGTGCAAAGGTGTAACTGTTTAATATAAAACAGAAACAAAAACAAATACAACCGTGAATTATATAGGCCATTTCAAAGTGAACTAGGAATTACTGTACAGACTATTAAAAGGCCTACAAGTACATGCAATGTGAACTCAAGCTGTTATGAAACTAGTAGCTAAACTAAAAATAGTGTGTGTTCTAGGAAATGGACTTGAACCAGACAGCAAAGTTCTTTTGTATTTGTCTTTTATTTGATACATGCAGTCAATGAATGCATATTGCAAATGTTTAATAGGATGGAATTTATCTTGCCAACATTTAGCTGTTAAAAGACGAACCAAGGGGGCGAGGCCTGACAGCCAAGCCGAGCAGACGTGCTAACTGAGTGCTCGGGCAAAACTGAGCCTAATTGAGGCTTTTATTGGCCCATTTGTGAACTCAGCAGCTTTACACGACTGTGGCCCATAGAGGAATGAGCGAGGAATTGAGTGGGGGCCTGAGAAAA